GTTGAACTCAATGATTTCAGATGTCTGTGATCAGTTAATTAAGTGATTAATTGTGTGCTGTGCTTTGCTGATGTTGCAGAACAGCGTCTGCGCCAACACCAGCACCCCCCACGCCTCGCTCTTCCCCAGCAACAATGAGACACTGGAGGTGGACATCTACAAAGGGGTGAGTGGGGCCTTGTCCCCACACCCTGGGGGCCTCTCTGCTGCTTTTTGGGTGGTGGAGGCCGGGATCTGCGACACAATCACCCAAAACGGAGCCAGAGGAGACCCCTGGGGGTCTTCGAGCCAAATTCTCTGTCCCTGTGCTAACTGTGGACCCTGTCCCCAGAGCCATCCCGAACCTCCTTCATTAAAACCACAGCCCCCTCATCTTCTGCCCACGTGGGGAACCTTTTTCCCCTCCCCAGATCCCGGGATTAATCCAAAAACGAGGGAATTCTCCCGCTTTCTTGTGCTGCGGGACGCGGGACCGCGCTGACGCCAATCCCCATTGCAGGGCGTCGTTTTGGGCTGCTACTTCGGCCCTGCCGCTCTCTACATCTGGGCCATCGGCATCCTCGCTGCCGGCCAGAGCTCCACCATGACGGGCACCTACTCCGGGCAGTTCGTTATGGAGGTAATCGGCGCTTCTAGTGCCTGCATCCCCCTTTTCTCTCTTCCCGAGCCTTTGAACCTCCTACTGATGATTCCTTCTTCCTTGGAGATGCAGCTCTTGCTGGAAACTCCTTAAAACTCCCTTTTTTCCCCCAAATCCACTTTTCCTGTTGCCCTCTTCCCGAAGCCTCCTCACTGGTTTCACCCTGCGGCCGCTCTGGTTTTCCCTCAGGGTTTCCTGAACCTGCGCTGGTCGCGCTTCGCCCGGGTGCTGCTGACGCGCTCCATCGCCATCACCCCCACCCTCTTCGTCGCCATCTTCCAGGACGTCGAGCACCTGACGGGCATGAACGACTTCTTGAATGTCCTCATGAGCCTGCAGGTGAGCCACGGGTCTGCGTTTCATAGACTCATGTGATCACAGAGTAACGGGTTGGGAGGGAGCACAAGGATCATCCGGTCCAGCCTCTCAGGGTAAAACACAGTTTAAATGAGATGGGGCAGCTCCCTGCCAGGATGACTTCAAACTGACCAGTGGAGGGGAATTCACCACTTCCCTGGAGATTGTTCTGATATTTAATTGATGGATCATTCCAATTTCTTATGGGCAGATTATTCCCATGTCTCATTGATGGATTATTCCCATTTCTCTAATAGATAGATTATTCCAGTATCTGATTGATAGATTATTCTAATATCCAATGGATAGATTATTCCAATCTCTCATTGATTATTCCAATGTCTAATTGATAGATTATTCCAATATTTAGTTGCTAGATTATTCCAATTTCTAATGGATAGATTACTCCAATGTCTCATTTAGAATTATTCCTATTTCTAATGGATAGTTTATTCCAATATTTAATTGACTGATTGTTCCAGTTCCCAATTGATGGATTATTCCCATGTCTCATTGAGGGATTATTCCCATGTCTGATTTAGGGATTATTCCCATGTCTGATTGCTCTCATGGTAAAACATTTTCTCCTGGAGTTCAAGGGGAATCTCCCCAGCAGCACCTTGTGTCCATCACCCCTCGTCTTTTCCCCGTGACTCCTTGTTAAAGGAGTCTCCATCCTCTTGGTGCCACCCTTTATGCACTGGCCCATGGTGATAAGGTCCCCCCTGAGCCTTCTCAAGGCTGAATAAATACAGTTTTCTCGGCTCTTCAGTGCTCTCAGCATCCTTGTGGGCCTTCTCTGGGCCCTTTCCAACCCATCCACTTCTTTTTTGGATAGCGAGGACCAAAACTGGACCCAGCACCCTAAAATTCATTGATGATTTGATGATTCTCTGCCCTCATCCATGTGATCAATGTGGAAAGGGCAGTGTCAGGAGGAAGGAGCCAGGCTCTGCTCTGGGATGTCCAGTGACAGGACAAGGGGCAATGGGTGCAGCTGGAGCACAGGAGGTTCATGTGAACATGAGGAGAAACTTCTTGATGTGAGGGTCCAGAGCATGGCCCAGGGTGTGGAGAGGTTGTGGAGTCTCCTTCTCTGGGGACACCCAAACCCCTGGATGATCTCAAGGTCCCTTCCAGCCCAGGCTGTGATCTGTGACAACAGGAGGAGGAATTGCCGGATGGGGCCATCCCGGTGTCGCTGTGCAGTGGCTTTGGGGGCAGCGCTCTCAGCCCTGAGATGCTGAAGCCATCAGCACAATCCCCGGTCTTGATTTTTCTTCTATTTCTTCTTTTTCTCCATTTCCTCCCTCCTCGCAGCTCCCCTTCGCGCTCATCCCGGTGCTGACCTTCACCAGCCTCCCCAGCGTCATGAACGACTTCGCCAATGGGCTGTAAGTCCCAACAAAATCACTTCCGTCCCCTCCAAAAACACACCCGGCCCCTCCGCCTCACCCCCCTTCCCTCCTGATTCACCCCCAGGTTTTGGAAGATCACGGGGGGGCTCCTGATCCTGTTGATCTGCAGCATTAACATGTACTTCGTGGTGGCCTACGTCATGGCCCTCAACCACGTGGCTCTGTACGTCGGCGCTGCCGTGCTCAGCGTGCTCTACCTCTCCTTCGTGGCGTATTTGGTAAGCATGGACCCCGTGGTTTGCTTTTCTCAGCATTATTCTTACATTATCACGCTTTCCGGGCGTTTAAGTCGGCCACGGGTCAGGGCAGATGGGGAAATTGAGGTTTTTGTGGCCAGATTTGCTTGATTTGGCAGATTTTTTTCTGCTACCCGTGGCCTCTCCCCTGCTTTTTTGGACACCTCTTTAGCAGTTCCCCTTTGGCCGCTCCCAAAAAGGCCCCGATTTCACCCTGCGGCAGGCAAAAGGGTGGCAGAGGCCTTGGGACAACGCCAGAGGGGTAAAACCACTGAAGAAGCTGAAAATCACAGGGGTTTTAGGTAAAAAGGGCCCATTGAAGGCTCATTGCAGCCCCCCCAGCTTTTCTGTAGCCCCCTCGGGTCCTGGAAGGTGGCAGTGAGGTCCCCCCGGAGCCTTCTCTAGGCTGAGCACCCCCAAATCTCCCAGCCCAGCCCCAGCCTGGCCCAGCTCCACTCCTGAGAGTTTTGGGGCCCCTCTCTGACAGGACCAGGTCCTTCCTGTGCTGAGGACCCCAAAGTTGGGGGGCTCAGCAGAGCAGAGGGGCAGGACCCCCAACCTCCATCCGTTGGCTGCAATGAAAATAACAAAGACATTGGGTGAGAAAGGTCCTGGAAGATCATCAAGGACAACCCTGGCCACCACTAAACCACGTCCCCAAGTGCCACATCCACACGGTTTTTGGATCCCTCCAGGGATGGGGACTCCCCCACTGCCCTGGGCAGCCCCTGCCAGGCCCTGAGAACCCTTCCCATGAAGAAATCCCTCCCAAAATCCACCCTAACCCTCCCCTGGCACAACTTGAGGCCATTTCCCCTCGTCCCATCGCTTGTTTTTTGGGAGCAAAGCCCACCCCCCCTCGCTCCCCCCTCCTTTCAGGAGCTGCAGAGGGGATAAGGTCTCCCCTCAGCTCCTCTTCTCCAGGCTGAAATTCTTCATGTGGAGCCCATCAGTGCTTGTTCACCCCTCTTAAGCCCTCAAATCACAATTTATTCACTGCAAAACCCGTGCTAACACTTTAAAGGGCACCATGTCCACATGGAGACCAAATGGAAGGGAGTTCCTCAGGGATCGGTGCTGGGGCCGGTGCTGTTCAACGCCTTTATTGGTGACAGGAACAGGGGGATCGAGGGCACCCCCACAAGTTTGGGGTGACACCGAGCTGGGTGGCGCGGTGATTCCTGGAGGGAAGGGACCCATCAGAGGGACCTGGACAAGGGAGAAGTGGGCCCAGGGGAACCCCATGGGGTTCAACAAGGCCCAGGGCAAGGTCCTGCAGCTGGGTCTGCGCAATCCCCAGCACAAACCAGGCCTGACCCAGTCAAAATGGCTGAGAGCAGCAC